TTTCTGTTACATTTTCTCCTGTTTACCTGTGTTCCCCTTGATGAATGTGCCTTTTCAGGCGATGGAGACCCGGGCAGCCTGACAGCTGGACTGGGCACGGTCTTGGAGGGGATGAAGACTGTGCTCACCTTCACAGTGATGGACGCCTGAATGACCACCACTGCTCCACCAGGTTCCGCTTCATCTGTCAGAAACACAGCCTGAATATTTGAACACATTCGTCGCCTGGCTCCACCCACAAACTGCTCTCCAACTACTGTTGATTACAAAGAAAATTTCTCTTTAAGATATAAGACAGAAAAATCTTATGTTATTAAGTAGAATTCATCTAATGTGGACTTCCTGTTCCATAGTGGGGCGCTGTTGAGCTTGACCAGAATGAATGGGACTCTATGGAGTCCATGATTTACAGGTTGTGTTTTTGTTGTAGTAAAATACCTTTCTGTGAGTATTAGGGACATCACACCACCAGGCCCAGTTTATTCCAGATCATGAAGCCTAACCCTTTGTCCTCTTTAGCTTCACCTACCACCATTCAAACTGAACAGGCTTACTGTGTGCATGTTTTAGATAGTACACAAGAGTCACTGTGATGTCACACATTGATTATAGACTCACTATGTTGGGTTTTAAGTGCCAGAAACAATAAGCAGACTGGGTGAAGTGTTAAGTTATCAGTTGTGTGCATCTCACAGGCACAGATATCTGTTAATTACTGCCAAGGAAGATTAAGATAAAATCCTAGAATTTCACTGACCAAACCTTTGGACTTCTTGGATTGTCTGTTAACTGCACTGAAGCCATATGTTGGTTAAGATAATTGCATCAAATGCTCCAAAATCACAAACATCATCCAGAAATGCAGTTCAGGGATTGTCGTTGGCTGAGCTGAAGCCTAGCAGACACTTAGTACCTGTCCAGCTTGACATAATTTAAATAGGTGAATCACAAAAATTGTGCTACAGTTGTACAAACAATGTTACAATGTAAACCTAAATAAAAAGTATCCATCCATCCATCCATTCTCTTCCACTTGTTCTTGTCAGGGTCGTGGGGTGGCTGGAGCCTAGCACAGGGCGAGAGGCCGGGTACACCCTGGACAGGTCACCAGTCCATCCCAGGCCTAATACAAAGAGACAGACAACAATTCACACTCATATTCACACTTAAGGGAAATTTAGGATCACTGATTAACCTAATCCCACTAACTGCATGTCTTTGGACTGTGGGTGGAAGCAGTAGTACCTGGAGGGATGATCAATAATTGAGCTCTGTGGAACTTCATCTGTGATGTCCCGGCATTTTCGGTGGAAGAAACACATCATGATGAACACAATCAATTTACTAGATCTTCCTTGCGAGGATGATTCAGACTTGCATCAAGAAATTCTATGTTTTTTCTTTAGGATTTCTCGAGTTTTGGCTTCTAATTTCATTTTGTTGATTTCTTTTGTTAGGTTTCTGATGTTCTTAGGTTCACTCAGTCTTTCCCTGTCTTTTTTTTTT